ACCCTAGCTTGCTCCTTGCTAAAAATCAAAAGATCCTAATGAAGGAGTTTAAACCGTTTGACCATTTTGATTTTATACTGAGGGATTATCTAAAAATGCTGCACCATATTAGTGGACTAATCGCCCTAGGCGAGCCCGATCTCGTAGGATTTTGGAAGCTAAGCGGGGTCAACTCTGGCAAGTAGTTGGATGGGGGGGGAGACCTCCTTGGAATATCAGAGGTGAGAGGCAGGGGCAGGCTTTACTCAGCCACCTCTCTGGATATCCTCCAGGCCCCCAGCAGGGGTCAGTCACCAGAGGTCGCCATGACTTGCCTATTTTTACATCCGTTTTTACATCATTTTTACCTGCTGTCTCCTATTTTTACATCAGTAAAAATCAAAGAGTGCCACTTCCTGTACTTCCTCCCTGCTCCTCCAAGGGAGGATTGCAATGGAATTGTTTCGGCAAACCTGGGGAAACGGGCCAATTTGGCTTCCATTGACTTTATACTCTGTGCATCACTTAAAGATTGTTAATACCAGACTACCACATGCTGCCATTTTGCTCTCAGCCTGCAAGAGAACGTGTCTCATGGGCATTTGAGAGGAACGTGGTTGGACTACTGCTGGTTTCTGCATTTTCAATGTGCGGACAAAACGCCTCTTCCCAGAGAATGTGCAGTAACCTAACACCTGCAATAAAATTAAATTTTGTGCCTATATATGTATGGCACAAAAGATTCTTGTAAGCAGTGTTCCCTCTAAGCTGAGTGAGTGTGAGCTAGCTCACAGTTTTTTAGCCTCCGGCTCACACGTTTTTGTCTCCGCTCAGGAAGGAGGGCCCCAGAGCGAACTCATTGATGCAGCAGCCCAATCGCTCATTCACCATTTTAATGCCAGGAGCTCACAAAGTGGAATTTCTGCTCACAAGAGTCCACAGCTTAGAAGGAGCATTGCTTGTGAGACCAGGTTGTTGTAACATCATGGCCTGGAAAAATCTGCTTCCCACCCCTCTGGCGATAAAATTTTGTAAAATGCAGCCTGGTGTTCTGTTGAGCTCCGTTTTCTGTCATTTTGGTGGGTTCTAATAAAAGATATTACATTAAAAAGAAGAAGCCACCAGAGGTCACCATGACCTCCAGGTGTACACACATATAACCCTCCCCCCCCCACATAATATTAGTGGACAAATCTAGTATTCTCACCATATATTTAAGTTTCCACCAAAGTCTCCTGTAGCTAGATATCTCTGTTGCAAAGAAGAAGCGCCAAACGTTCCACATTTAATAGGCTTTGATTTTTCGATCTTGAAAGAGAAAGAACAAGTTTTTTAAAGAAAGACTAGAATTAGATAATGATACATCTATAGCCCCGCTCTAGTCAACACTGGCAGGTTTCAGATTAGAATCATAGAATGTTAGAGTTGGAAGGGACCTTGCAGGTCATTTAGTCCAACCCCCTGCACTCTGCAGGAGTATACTGAAAGATAGCCCTACATACCTACAACATACCTGAAAGATGGTCATCCAGTCTCCGCTTGAAAACATCCAGCGAAGGAGCATCCACCACCTCCCGAGGTAGACTGTTCCACTGCTCAACCACTCTTACAGTTAAGAAGTTTCTCCTGATATTTAGCTGGTAACGACTCCCTTGTAATTCCCACCCATTAGACCTAGTCTTGCAATCCGGAGCAAGACAGAATAGATCCGCTCCATCTTCTACATGACAGCCCTTCAGATTACTTGAAGACTCCCACCATGTCCCCTCTAAGCCTTCTCTTTCCCAGGCTAAACAGACCCAACTCTTTCAGCCTTTCCTCCTAAGGCTTGGATTCCAACCCTCTCACCATCCTGGTTGCCCTCTTCTGGACACGCTCGAGTTTATCAATTCAGATTGTCATACTGAAGAATTAAAAAACAGATATTTTTTTTACATTTAATTTTCAACCTGAGCTTCAAATAGGGTTGCCAGCCTCCAGGTGGGGCCTGGAGATCTCCCAGAATTATAATTGATCTCCAGATGACAGAGCTCAGTTCCTTTGGAGAAAATGGATCCTTCGGAGGATGGACTCTATGGCATTGCACCCCAGCTGAGGCCCCGCCCCTTCCCAAACACCGCCCTCCCCGGGCTTGCCAATCAGGAGACGGCAACCCTAGCTCTAAAGCAGGTACCCAACAATGCCAAGCTTTTGCAAAATTCACATCTGATAACCCATTAAGGCAACATTAACGGGAGCAATAGCGACCACAGTGGTTTTTGGATTTGTAGTGTTATCTGTTTGCAAGCGAAGATGAAGCGGATGTAAGCTGATTTTACTTCACTCAGTTTAAGGTAGAGGTAAAGGTTCCCTTGCTCGAAAGCAAGGGTCGCGGTGCTCATCTCCGTTTCCAAGCCGAAGAGCCAGCGCTGTCCGAAGACGTTTCCGTGGTCATGTGGCCGGCATGACTAAACGCCAAGGCGCACAGAATGCTGTTTCCTTCCCACTGAAGAGGTACCTATTTATCTACTTGCAATGTCTTGCTTTCGAACTGCTAGGTTGGCAGGAGCTGGAACTAGAGACAGGAGCTCACTCCGTCATGCGGCCCACTCGGGTCTCGAACTGCTGAACTACTGACCTTCCACAGCCTGCAGTTCAGCGTCTTAACCACTTGACCCACCGCAGCTCCTTCACTCAGTTTACCTATGAAATAATTAGGGTGCGTTACGGCGGTAAAAAGGGGCCACGGTGGCTCAGAGGTTAAGATGCTGAGCTGCAGACCAGAAGGTCTGTAGTTCGGCAGTTCGAGACCCGAGTGCCGCATGACGGAGTGAGCTCTCGTCTCTGGCCCCGGCTCCTGCTAACCTAGTAGTTCGAAAGCCAGAGATTGCAAGTAGATGAATAGGTACCACTTCAGGGGGAAGGGAACAGCGTTCCGTGCACCTTGGCGTCTAGCCATATTGGCCACATGACCACGGAAATGTCTTTGGATAGCGCTGGCTCTTCAGCTTGGAAATTGAGATGAGCACCGCAACCCTAGAGTCAGATTCGACTGGCTTTCGAGCAAGGGAACCTTTACCTTTACCTAGGGCTTTAAAACACTACGTGGAGGAATGTTTGGTCCTTCTCCGAGGGTTCTGCCAGCCAGAATAAAAAGGATAATCAAGGCTTCGCTTTGCAAATGTCACCCCCTTCTGAATGGAGACACTTGATGCGCTTAAGAGGGAAAATGACTCGTATTGTTTTGTCACAAGCCCTAGGTCCGACTCGAATAAATCAAGTCAAATCAGTATCAGTTTAATAATTGATCACGTAGACAGAATAATTGTCAGGAAATTCGGGTATGTCAGTACCTAGCTCTGCTGTAACACGGCTTTCAAAAACGTCTGGCGTGCGTATGATGCAAGCACACCACTTCTGATAGAAAATATTATGCTCTCCTTTTTTTGTCCCTTATCTCTCCTCTTTGCTTCTGACACCTTACATATTACATCAGAGGTGTCGAACTCATTTGTTCCGAGGGCCAGATCTGACATAAACGTCACTTTGTCGGGGCGGGCCACGTGTGCCACAAAACGTAATGCCAGGTACCGGCGATATAAACTGTATAAAGGACAGCAGCTGGTAAGCTCCGAGTTGGTGCGTCATCACTGCAAGTCCCCATGGGCTGGGAGGGGGGTGCAGAGGAAAACCCACCTGGGCGGACTGGAGATCCAGCGGTGCAGCACTGGGCAGATGCTCCCACGCTGCCTGACTGCTGCAGACGAGGTTGTTCTACCATGCTCTGCCCACAATCCCCCCCCGTTCCCTCCCTTGCTCTAGTTGCTCGCAGGCCACATAAGAGCCCTGGATGTGCCAGTTATGGCCCCCGGGCCTTATGTTTGACACCCCCATACTACACAGAAAATATCAGGCCTAAAAAGGTAAAAGTAAAGGTTCCCTTGCTCGAAAGTCAGTCGAGTCCGACTCTAGGGTTGCGGTGCTCATCTCCGTTTCAAAGCCAAAGAAGTTTCTTCGCTGTCCGAAGACGTTTCCGTGGTCATGTGGCTGGCATGACTAAGCGCCAAGGCGCACGCAACGCTGCTACAAACTGAGGGTGCAATGGGATGAAATGGACTGGAGTGCTATCTGGTCTTCTCCTGCCAATAACTCCAACGTTTTTAATATTCGGTTGCAATTCTTCAAAATGTGTTCTAGATGGTATATGACTCCTCAAATGCTACATAAAATAAACATAAATAACGATCCATGTTGTTGGAAGGGTTGTGGGCAGATTGGTACTTTTTTGCATTGCTGGTGGGAGTGCCCGGGGATAGAAAAGTTCTGGGAAGAG